TTCCTCAGCCAGCTGGCTGAGGAACTCTGGGAGTTGAAGTCCACAAGTCTTAAAGTTGCCAAGGTTGGAGACCCCTGGTGTAGGGTCTCCTGCTTGGGCAGGGGGTTGGACGATGACCTACAAGGCCCCTCTCAACTCTGATTATCTGTTGTCTGTTAAGGTAGACCAGAACAGGAAACAGACTTCAAAAGTCTAGCTAAAAGTACACTTTATGGATGTAGGTGATGATAGGCAAATCTTGAAAACCTGACTGAGCGTTTCTTGCCTTTCTTCTAATGCTCTATTGCAGGGTTTCCTTGAGCTTGGCAATATGAAGATGTGCAGAATTCAGCTCTCAGAATTCCTCAGCCAACAGTGCTGGCTGGGAAATTCTGGGAGCCGGTTCTCACTTCTTCAAGTTGCCAAGGTTGAGAGACACTGTTCTAGTGAATTGGGAGAAGCGAGTCTTACCTTCTTCAGATTTTCTCTACTGGCCTTAAAGCGTGCTTCTGTTGTGTCGCTTCTCCAAAGTTACCTCCCTGGCTTTCTACAAGAGGAAGCCTAATTCAGATCTCCCACTCGTTGTCCAATATCTGCTCTACTACATCCCACAGGCTCACAGGCTTGAGAGAGGATCTGGCCTAAAGTCATTACAGAGTTTCTATAATAGTTTGTGGGATTGAACCTGGATTTCTCCGCCCTGATCCTATATTTTAACCATATTGAAAGTCCACCCTCTGTTCTGACTTTCTTAAAGACCTACCATTATCTCAATGCTTGGTTAACTACATCCCATCCCTTCCTGGAAAGCAATTTAGAAATGAAAGTAGTTTCTGGTAGTCCCTGGATAAATTTTCAGAAGAAGGCAGGATGCAGTCACTCTCTCTCTTTCTTGAACAGCAGACCAAGTCTTGTTCATTTAAAAAAAATAAATGCTTCCAGATGGTACAAAATCATCCCAGCAGTTGGCAAAGCTGGTCTGATTTCTTGCTTTGTCAGTGAGAAGAGGAAAAGGATTTTAAAAATCTTTTGTATGTCTTTTTTGTATCAGCAATTTCATATCCTTTCAGGCTGTGTTGACACTAGCAACCCATTTGTATTGTGGATATGTAGCATAACTATATATATAGTCCATTTAACCTAACTGATATTTGGTCTATTTTGCATTTTCTTTGTAATCAGCGGATGCAATTGAAAATATCAAGAAAAAGTTTGACAACCGTATAGTAAACACTCTATTGAAGGGGATGTCCAACCTTGGCAACTCTAAGACCTGTGGACTTCCACTCTCAGAATTGCCTAGCCAATGTATGCAGAATTTACCAAATCTTAAAGGTTGGACACCCCTGCCAAGGCTGGGCACCCCTATTCTACTAAATTTTCAAATCTCTGGCTTATTTTAATTGCTCTTTTTAATTACAGAAGTATAAGGCAGAGTTAGATGTCATCTGCAAACATTTGTAAATAGAGCTTTTAAGTGGGGTGATAGAGATCATTCTCATGAGTAAATTGCATGTAGCTTACTCATGATGATGGCTTTCACTTGACCTCTTACCTCTGTCTTCCTATTTTTTTATACAGAATAGAATACAGAATACAAAATAACAGATTTGGAAGGGAACTTTAAGGCCTTCTAATCCAACCCTCCCTGCTCAAGTAGGTGACCCTATACCATTTCAGACAAATGACTATCCAATCTCTTCTTAAATTCTCCAACTCTGGAAGATCCACGATGCAAAGCAAGCTATTCCACTGATTAATTCTTCTCACTGTCAGGAAATTCCTCCTTAATTCGAGATTTAGTTTCCATCCATTACTTCTTGTCCTGCCTTTAGGTGCTTTGGAAAACAGGTCAACCGCCTCTTCTTTGGGGCAGCCCCTCAAATATTGGAAGCCTGCTATCATGATACCTCTAGTCCTTTGTTAGACTAGATATACCCAGTTCCTGCCTCTAAATAATTTGCACAGTGCAATTCCACAATTAGCATTTCCACCACTAAGAAGAGATTCGACAATAATAGGGCCTTGGTGGCGCAGTGGTTACAGTGTCATACTGCAGGCCACTTTTGCTGACTATCGGCTGCCTGCAATTTGGCAGTTCGAATCCCACCAGACTCAAAGCTGACTCAGCCTTCCATCCTTCCAAGGACCCAGATTGTTGGGGGAAATAGGCTGACTCTGTAAAACTGGGCTGTAAAGCACTATAAAGTGGTATATAAGTCTAAATGCTATTGCTATTTGTCTAAAATAGCGAGGGCAGGGACCGCCGCCACCGCAACCAGTCCACAAAACCAGAAAGGTTGGGGACCGCTGTTTAAGACAGGGAGTTGGACTAGAAGACCACCAAAGCCCTTTCCAAATCTGTTAATTCTGTTAATTAACTAACAAGATCAAAAATTTGTCATTTGGGGAATATCAAATACCTACCCATCTTCTCCAGGGAAAGGCCTGCCAAAACATTGCTTCCCATCTCAATTCTTTTTCATTGTTTTTTTTTTCAACTGCAATTCCTGCGTAGCTCTTTTTGATTCCCCTGAGAGAAACAATTGGCTAGATTTTGTGTTTTCACAACATTCCTAAGTAAAGTCAGTCAGACCCAGCATTTTTCACCCTTGGCAAATTTTAAGATGTGTGGTGCTTCTGCTGGCTGGGAAATTCTGAAAGCCCACATATCTAGAAATCTCCCTGTTCAGAAAACACTGGTTTAATTCTATAGAATATGGGATCATTTGGGGGATAAAGTTCACTTGATGGACAATTACCGTATTTAGGGTTCTCACAACACATCAATCTCTTATTAACCAGATTCAATATGATGTTGAACTAGGGCTAAAAAAGGACAAGGATTCGATTCCTGTCAAATTGTAAGAATTCAAAAGCTTGCAATTTGGATTTCCTTCGATCTACTTCAAATTTTTGATTTTTTTTATCTATTCTAAAATCAAACTTAGAGTCCCAGTGTTTATTTCATTGATTTAAATCAGGGGTCACCAATCTTTTGGACCTCAGGGACCACCAAACTCATAATTTTAAATCCCACTAATAAGAATTTTGACTGATGGTGGCTTGCTGACACTGGTGGGAGAGAGAGAAAGAGATAGATCTGACCTAACCCCCCCACCTCTCTCTCTCTCACACACACACAGAGGCAAGGGTGGGACTTGAATGTCTGATTCTGATTCTGTGGGTGTGGCCTAATTTGTGGGTGTGGCTTGGTGGCATGAGACTGGGTGGGCATGGCTTGTATGTAAATATTATAAATATTTATGTAAATATTGATTTTTTTATAAAAAAACAGCAACTTTTACCCAAAATCAGGCAAAGCAGGCAGGCAGATTGAATTGCTCAAAGAATCACAGATTCACTTAGAGATCTATCTTTCTGCCATCAGCTACCTGAGTCTGTCACATAAAATTTGCTTGCAAGCAAACTCAAAAAAATAACTCACAACACACCGTGTATGTAAATATTGAGTTTTTTATAAAAAAGAAAGCAACTTTTACCCAAAATCAGGCAAAACAGGCAGGCAGATTGAGTTGTTCAAAGAATCACAGATTCACTTAGAGATCTATCTTTCTGCCATCAGCTACCTGAGTCTGTCACATAAAATTTGCTTGCAAGCAAACTCAAAAAAATAACTCACAACACACCGTGTATGTAAATATTGAGTTTTTTATAAAAAAGAAAGCAACTTTTACCCAAAATCAGGCAAAACAGGCAGGCAGATTGAGTTGCTCACAGAATCACAGATTCACTTAGAGATCTGTGTTTCTGCCATCAGCTACCTGAGTCTGCACTGAAAAATAGAACGTTCAGCCCTAAGGGAGGTTTGGCTCAGCTTAAAGGCAGAGCCAAAGATTTAAAAATTAGCTAGAAAACAAGAAATCCAATGGTTTCCTGCTTTTTAATTAATCTAAATCTCCTGGCACAGCAGAACAGCTGATGGTCAGGGGAAAAAAAAGGAAAAATAGCAACTTAGCAGGAAAGTTTGCCAGGTAAGGAGTGAGTGGGTGGGGAGGGTTCCCACAGGCCATGTGAGTGGTGCAGCCTTGTGTTCCTGTGCAGCCTGGATTAATTGCTTTGGGTGTGTGTGCTGGGGGTGACATTTCTCTGCGGATCACCAAAATTTTCTTGCGGACCACAAGTGGGTTGTGACCCATCGGTTGGCAACCACTGATTTAAAGCATTTGAACAACTACCCAATTTTATATAATTAACTTTAGGGGCTTCCAATAAGGTTTTACCTCCACAGGCATATATGCATACGTATGCTTAAGGTAATCCTTGATTAAGTTACAACCACAATTGGAACCAGAATTTGCTAAGAAAGCCCCAGCTGATTTTACAACTCCTTTTTGCCATGGTTGTTAAACAAATCACTGTTGTTGTTATGAATCATGCAGTCATTAAGTGAAGCTGGCTTCCCATATTGAACCTTATCTGCTGGAAGCCAGTTGGGAAAATTACATGATCCCTGGATCGCTGTAAGCATCATAAATTCATCCTAATTTTGGTCATGGGGTGGTGTGACAGTCTTAAGTACAAGAACCAGTTGCAAGTCACTTTTTGCAGTGTCCCTGTGGTTTCAAATAGTCATTAAATGGAGGGTTGTAAGTCAAGAACTCCCTGCATGCTGATGATGAAGTGCATCTTAAAAAGAAATCTTTAACCATCTACTTAGAGAAAGGAATAAAACACGGGCCAAACTTTTGAGTGGCTTCATTACAACCGTATATAAATGGCTTTGAAGGCATTCAGAAAGGATGACTCAGTTACCCCACCCAGATTGGATGATGGAAATAAATTCAAGGTTTATTGATATCAGTGTTGGAACAATGTGGTAGGCATAAAAATTTGTTTCCAATCTTTTACGTTTTTAAATTGTTTTTTTGGCTTTCAGGATGCCTGGCTTTTAAGGGTAACAGCTGCTCTGTTGGATTTCACAAAGGAACCTGGAGTAATTTTCAGTAGTAGGATCAGTTATGGGGTTCAAATTTTTTTACTACCCATTCTGTGAGCGTGGTGGCTTGGTGAGGTGGCATGGGAAGGATACTGCAAAATCTCCATTCCTTCCCCAACCCACTAACCTGCTTTCCAGCTCCGTTCTCCTGCATAGGGCAACAAAAGAAGACCCAGCTGATCATCTGGGACTCAATGGGAGGCAGAGAATAGATGGAGGCGGGGCCAGTATTTGCCAGTTCTCTGAACTACTCAAAACTTCCACTACCGGTTCTTCAGATCTGGTCAGAACCTGCTGAATACCATATCTGAGTAGGATATCTTTTAGATGGAATGGGGGTGTGGGAACTTTCACATTCCATGCAAAAATACCACTTTTGGAAGACATTTGGTTGGAAATTGTTCTATTGTTTAAAACTACTAACTTTGTAATCAGGAAATACCAGCCTTAGTGAGTATGATTCATTATGATACATGTGATCATGCTAAGGATCCGTAAATGATCTTTAAGTGATAGAACAGGGAAATAACCAAATAGATGCCATCTTTATTTATATTTTATTTATTTATTCTACAACGAGTTTCTTAAATTATAACTCTTAATTGCGAGAAAGACACTGAGAGAAGGAATAAAGAAATAAGTGCTACTTAAGGAACGATCAGATGGCACAGCCCATAGCTGCATGATGGAGAGAATGAGTTTCTGAAAGAATTGTTCTCAGCTTCTCAGGCTTTAAAGAAGAAAGTGGGAGATTTATATTTTCATTCTTGCAAGATTCTGCCAGTGTAGCCTTACCATAAAGTAGTAGTAGCTCAGCTAGTTGTGTTTCCTGTCAGGCCTAACTGGTAAGGCCGACAATTTGCCTGCCCATATTATTTCGGAGACGGGAAGAGATATTTGGGCACCTTAATGTTAAGAAATGAAATCTTGAGTAGCACAGGGCATGAATACCTGACAGAGATTTCGGGTTTACTATTAAAAAATCCTTTAATTGTTAATTCCTCATCAGTAAATAGCAAAAATTAAACTGCAAGATTCATCTGGAAAAATAGTCTACTCATTGCTAATGAGTTTCTATTAGTAAAACATTTCAAGAGTAGCTTGATGTTCTTAATAGACTGATGTTCCAAATAGATATTCAGTTAAATTAACTTCCCTGAATGAATGTTTTGGTTTGTTATTAATAAGTTAAATAGTCACCTTGAAGTTAAAATCCCAATTTGCTGTGCCCCAGGGGTGGGATTCAAAATTTTTAACAACCAGTTCTGTGGGTGTGGCTTAGGTGGTGGGCATGGCTTGGTGGTCATGTGACTGGATGGACATGGCTTAGTGGTCATGTTATTGGCTGGGCGTGGCCAACTCAATATCACTCGCATCGAGGCACGCATCTCCTCGCCTGGCCTTTTATGACTGTGGGGATACTGCAACAGTCGTAAGTGTGAAAAATGGTCATAAGTCACTTTTTTCAGTGCCATTGTAACTTTGAATGGTCACTCCACCAAGGAAGCAGATCATGGTTAATTGAGGATCTGACCTCAGGTCTCCCTAGTTCAACTCTTTAATCACTCCACTTCAGCAACTAGATGTGCCATTTGTTTCCCCACAGACAGGATGATGGCTGATGGGTAATAGAGGTTAAATTTAGTGAAGCTACAGAGCAAGAGAAAACTCAGCATTAATACTTGGAGTGAATATCATATTCTCTATCCAATGTTATAATTTAAACTTCACAGTGTCTCCAACGTTTTGTTTATGTGTCTGTAACAGAACATTTTTAGCTCAAGACTTTATGTGGGGGATGATAATGTGACCATCCACCAATGCAGTTTTTCCTCTCTTAGATTGGTAGAACTCAACATTGTTCAGTATAATCAGGGGTGGGGTTCAAATTTTTTAACAACCAGTTCTGTGGGCATGGCTTAGTTGGTGGGTGTGGCTTGGTGGGCATATGACTGGTGGGCGTGGCTTGGTGGTCATGTTATTGGTTGGGCGTGGCCAACTCAATATCACTCACATCAAGGCATGCATCTCCTCACCTGCCCTCTCATGGCTGGGGGGATACTGCAACAGTTGTAAGTGTGAAAAATGGCCATAAGTCACTTTTTTCAGTGCCATTGCAATGATGAATGGTCACTCCACACAAGCAAAGTACCAGCAAAGGAGGGAAAAAAACTCCAGAGAAGTTCCAGAGACAGGAAGTCTAGTCCTGCCAAGAATGTAATAAGGGTTAATGGAGAGACAGTTTCTATAAGCAACACCAGAATGTTTCCTTCCTGCCTTCCTTACAGGATTAGGCCAGTAATTTTTTCTAACAAAAGGTTCTCCGAACTGCTTAGAATGTTAACAACCGGTTCTAGTGAATAGGTGCGAACTGGTAGAATCTCACACCAGCTCTGCCCCCATCCATCACTGTGTTGATGTAAAGGAAATTCCATTGTTGTCTGTGGCAAAAAGTACTAACTCCTGTTTTCTTCTTATTAAAGTGTTCCTATATAATGAATTTATTAGACATTTAACACCATCATTATTGGGCTTTTCATGTTAGCAATAAAATAAAAAGTCACTTTAAATACTAATTCCAGCATACAGTTAATTGGTTTTCTATATCACGTTGGATTACTGTACTTACAATTAATAGCAATTTCCTTGATTATAGTTTCAATTCGTAGTATGGTATTATGAGTCAGTGTACGGTAACTAGCATGGTTGTCTGAAAAAAACAAGTACATTTCCAATACAGGTAGTCCTTGACCCAGAAGCAGTTGCTTAGCAACCATTCAAGTTATGATGGACCCTGAAAAAGCTACTTGTGACCTGCATTCAAAGTGGGACATCGGTCCCTTCCCGGTTTGCTTAATGACTACTACAAAAAGGTGGTGAAATCAGGCACATTCATTTGGTCACCTACTTCACAACTGTCACATCTTATGACTAAAATTACAGGCTCAATCACAGTTGTAAGCTGAGGTAGTACTACAACTTTCTAGAATAAAAATATTCTCAGCCAAGTTAAAGCTTTATAAAGGATGAAAATTAACTAAAATGAACACAAAACTCATCCCCCCAAAATGGATTTGGAATTCCCTTCACATGAATTTCATTGCTACCTACAAAATGTGTCCCTTGTAGAAGGATTATTTCAACAGCTTAAGAACTGTATATATTCTCCTATTTGTAGGAAGTTATATTTTACCCTATTCACAATATAGATTTGAGTTTAGGTAATCCAAAAGACTTAATATTTCATCAATTTTGTTCTCTACTTTTGTTCTACCAGCTCATTTGCTTCTTATTTTGCTTTGTCCCTAATTTTGATCTTTGGTAGAGCTATAGATTATATTTACATTGTTTCCCTTATTTATTTTCCATTTTATGTAGTAGGCTGATATCAATAACAATAGCAATAGCGCTTATACCACTTCATAGTGCTTTCAAGCCCTTTCTAAGTGGTTTACAGAGTCCGCCTCTTGCCCCCAACAATCTGGGTCCTCATTTTACCCACCTCGGAAGGTTGGAAGGCTGACTCAACCTTGAGCCTGGTGACATTCGAACTTCTTTCAGTCAGCAGAATTAGCCTGCAATCCTTCATTTTAACCATTGCACCACCATAGCTATTCTCTGATCCTTTGGGACTATAATGTAATGGGACACACATTTTCTAAGAAACGCATAGTATAAAATAATCTGAATCCTTATTTTTTTCTCATCAGTGTTTACTGGAAGTGGTGATACTTGTGCTCGGGCTTTTAATACAAAGACTGGCATTCTGCAAAGAGTGTTTCGGGGTCATAAGTTGGTTATTAACTGCATCCAGGTAAGCTGTCAATTTTTCAAATCCTCTGATTTTACTATGGGTGAATCAGTTGATATCACTTCGGTCCGAAATATTCATAAGGCCATTTCATTTTAGATACTCATAAAGATTGCCCTTTCATCAATAATGTTTATTGCAAAAATGTATCAAGAGAAGAAAATATTTGTAGCTTGGGGTTGAACTGTGGAGCCCTTGGTGCCGTCGGAGCTTGGTGTTTTTCTTGCAGACATTTCATTACCAAGCTAGGTAACATCATCAGTGTGAGAAGGAAGAGAGTTTTGCTCACTGATGGGGGAAATTATCTATACAGAAAAGAGAAGAGTAAGAAAGGTGATTAGGGGATGGAAGCTAAAACATATAAAGAATGGTTGCTGGAATTGGATATGTCTAGTCTGATGAGAAGGACCGGGGTGACATGATAGCAGTGTTCCAATATCTCAGGGAGAGGGAGTCAAGCTATTCTCCAAAGCACCTGAGGGCAGGACAAGAAGCAACGGATGGAAACTAATCAAGGAGAGAAGCAACTTAGGACTAAGGAGACAGTTTCCTGACAGTGAGAAAAATTAACCAGTGGAACAACTTGCCTCCAGAAGTTGTGGATGCTGCAACATTGGAAGTTTTTAACAAGATAGTGGATAACCATTTGTCTGAAATGCTATAAGGTCTCCTGCCTAAGCAGGGGGTTAGACTAGATACTAGATAGTCTAGATCCCTAGACTAGATAGGGATCTGCAACCTTAAACACTCAAAGAGCCATTTGGATCCATGTCCCACAGAAAAGAAAACACGGGGAGCCTGAAAACCTGGATGGGTGTGGCCAACTCAATGTCACTCCCACTCAGTCACATGACACACAGACACCCCCCCATGCCTACCCAGGTTTTGTGGCTCCTGGTGTTTTCTGTAGTAAATGGGTCTCCCTCCCTCTCATTACTGTTTTTTGAGTTTTAGCTTCTCAGGAGAGGCGAGGAGTGACTGGGAGGGGAGGGCAAGGGGTGGGGCCAGACAGTGGTGGGATCACTCAACAGGGAGCCACAGCAGAGGGCCCAAAGAACCACATGCAGCTCCAGAGCCATGGGTTGCCGACACCTGGACTAGAAAACCTCCAGGGTCCCTTCCAACTCTGTTATTTTATTCTATTCTATTCAATATTCTATTCTACTCCTATTCCTATTCCTATTCCTATTCCTATTCCTATTCCTATTCTATTCTATTCTATATTCTTTTCTATTTTACTCCTGTTCCTATTCCTATTCCTATTCCATTTCTATTCTGTTCTGTTCTGTTCTATTCTATTCTATTCTATTCTATTCTATTCTATTCTATTCTATATTCTTTTCTACTCCTGTTCCTATTCCTATTCCTATTTCTATTCCATTTCTATTCTATTCTATTC